TAAAAAGTGTTGATCTTATCGGTTTTTTAATTGTAATGTTATGCACCCCTGTTAATTATTCTGAACACAGCTCTCCGGATGACTGGAAGAGAATGCCTAATGGCATGAAGTCCGCTATTTGTTCTGTTGTTGTGCAATAAAGTTTAAATAAATAAATAAACGTTCACGTTGCTCATTGGCGGCAGAGAAAGGTTTGGTGGCAGTTCTTTCTTAGGTGAACTCTTTCAAACCATATTTGTATTGCAAAAACGAGCGATTCGTTCTGTGTACCGTCTAGGCTCTCGAGTATCTCTCAGAGAAAAGTTTAAGGAGACTGGTATCATGACTGTGGCATCACAGTACATTTACTGAAACATTTTATATGCCCGTAAAAATATACATAATTTCAATAAGAAAGAAGATATCCATAATATTAACCTTAGAGCTAAGTCCAAACTCATGGTACCACGATTTCGTTTAACCAAGGTAAACAACTCTTTTATGGGGAACTGTATACGTTTTTACAATAAGATTCCAGAGCATATATTAAGTTTATTATTTCCTAAGTTTAAAAACTACATTAAAAATATTTTGATCGAAAAATCATATTACAAAATTGAAGACTACGTGTTAGATAAAGATGTATGGAAAGACGACATGGCTCCAGAATCCACACAAATTTGATTCAAAGTGTATTCCATAGCATTTAAGTTTATTTGAAAAGAGCAATCCCTAGAGTTTCTTGCTCGTTCTTCTCAGGGAGGTCAGCGTAGTGAACAAGCAGTAGCTTAAATGTGACGTTTTCAAGTGTAAATTTATTTTACCTATGGAATAAATAATCTTTGACTTTGACTAATGATACGCTTTTGTCTGGAAAATGCATATTCTATTGAATATGTTCCTTAGTTACTTGTGAGTACTTTAACGAGTGTCGTAGCTTGGATTAGCGTAGAGGCAGCTTTTAAAGATAAAACAGGACTATATCCATGAATAAATATTTATTACGTATTTTGACTTCGACTTCACATGGAGCTCTACTGTTACTAACTAAAAAACATATACTTAAAATAGTATATCACCGTGTTACTGTTCACAAACTAGAGCGTCACCCAATCACATGATCTCAAGATAGGATGTGAGAGTATTAACTCCTATGTCTATCAGTGTGTGCCTTATTTACGTTCTGTACAAGGCAAAATATATTTTATTTTCTATACGCTTTCTTAAGTTAAAATGTTCACTAGTTACATCCCACGGATTGGCACAGGTCTTTCTGTACGCAAGATATTGTTTATTGTGTTAGTAAGTATCTTGAAACTTTTAACTATCATTCTACTCTTTATCCTTCTATGACTTAGTTATATTTAATAGAACTAACTAAAGTACTGACTTTTTAAATTTATCCAATTATTAAAAATACAGGAAGCAACTCTTCTAGGCAAAAAAATACAAATTATTTCTAAAGTAGTGTTGAAACTAGATTACTATTTCAAAGAGAACCAATGAACCATGCCTAGGCATCATTACTAGACTGAAAATAAAGGTTGTATATTAACCGTAATATGATATTAACGTAACGTGACCTGATATTGTTGACTTTCTCATATCTGTACGTCCTGGAGGAATCTTTGTTTGTTAAGACGAACTCGAGTGAATTTCCAGAGAAAATACTCACAACCTGGTCCATGGTCCAAGGAAATATTTGTAAAACGGCCTTATTCGAAAACAGCGTTGTCAACATGACACCCAAATTTTTCAATAAAATCCCAGACGCAATAAAGAATCTCAAAGGAATGCTTTTCAAGCATGAGTTAAAACAATTATTTATTGACAAGTATTACCAGAGCATAGAAGAATATTGAAATGACAGTTCCGTAAAATGGGTAAATGCTAATTAATTAATGGATACCAGTTAGTTAATACTATCAGATTTTTCAAACTTTCTTTTTTACATTGTACCCTTACAATAATAACGCATAGAAACCTAGTCCGCACACGCTAAGTGAGGCAAATTGAAGCGCGCCCAATGGGCCTACACGAGCGGGCGGGCCTACAGTGCTCAAGGTCAACTTGCACCGGGAACAGCTCCAGAATTTTAGCTAAAAATGACGAAATGTGCGGTAAATGAGTGTAAATAGATACTAACATCACATTCCACAAGGAAGTAACGCGTTTCAACTTGTATTTTTATATAAATATTCACTAAAACCGAAAATTAATTTCGTTGCAACAAGACACGAAAATGCCTACATGAATTTGATTTTTGCCTCTCTTGTGACAGTTCGTTTGATATGAAACTATCATTCTATGCGTTATTATTCTAAGACTGTACCTATTATTATTATTTTTTTTTTCTTTCACATTGCATTTTTATTTATTTGACTTTGTATGCCATTTTGGCTCATTGCAGAGATTTCATAAAATTATTATTATTGTCTATATCAAGTACCTGTCGCGTTAATAAACTAAAGTCTGTTTTCAACCTACTTGAAAAAAACGAGGAGGTTCTTCGACTGTTTTTTTTTGTGTGAATATGTTACGCGATGATTCCGATAGGTATTTGTGAACCGATTTCAATGATTCTTTTTTGTTGTAAAGGGGGTCCTAGTCCTCAATAGTGAGTCCCATTAAAATTTAAAGCAAATATACCACATCGAAGGGTGGCAAGTTAGGGGATGAGTCCGGTTTATCTGATTTTAAACTTGAAACTTTGAAAAATTTGTAACTTGGCTGATAGATAATATAAGATAATTCCACATTTTTGAGGTAGGTTTCTTTTTTTTCATAAAAAGTTATTATCATTAACTTTACTGAATATTTAACATTGCAACTTGACCTCATGTTTATTTGCGTTGTAATAGAAGATTTGTAAATATCTTCAGCTTTTTAAGCATGTTAATTGCAAGATTTGTTAATGAAATTATAGTAATTAAAAACAGAGCGGCGATAGCGTAGTGGGAGAACTGTTGCTTCACAATTGAGATATCCACGGTTCCAATTCCCGTGGCACCTTAATTTCGAGGTTAAATATATTTGTGAATGATTAGGTGAAGGAAAATATTGTAATAAAACCTGCATACAAAGAGACTTGTGCTCAGAAATGGGGCTTAAAATAGTATAAGGCGTATACATTAAGACGTTTAAGCGTGAAACACACTGACAGCGGGCGCGTGTCGGGTGTACGTCGTTGTCGTCCATACCCACACGGAATTACACCCGCCGTGCTCCCCACCCGACAAGCCGCCGACCCGCACCCATTATCTGTTTTTCACGCTTTATGGTACTAAGCATTTTCGGCTGTCCCATAACAAAATCTAGTTAGTGGTTTAGACAAGTCCAAAAACACAAATCAAGGTCTACCTTAAACTTTAACGTAAAAAAGTACAAAAATGACACAAAAACGGCCCTATACAAAATTGCGTTGTTGATATGGCACCCAAAATATTTAATAAAATTCCAGACGCAATAAAAAACCTTAGTGGAATGGAATTCAAGCATGTATTAAAACAATTATTCATTGACAAGTGTTACTATAGCATAGAAGAATATTTTAATGACACTTTCTTAGAATGGGTAAATGCTGACAGTTCGGTTCCATTTAGTTATTAATATTTTTAGACTTTTCAATTACTATTAGTTTTTTGACATTGTATCCATTTTTCTTTTATTTTTATTTTGACATTACATTTTTATTTAATTGACTTCGTATGCCACTTTGGCTTATTGCAGAGATTCCATAAAATTATTATTACAATCTATATCATGTACCTGTAATAACGAATGAATAAATTAATTGAATTGAATTGAAAAAAAAAAAAGGATTTGCTAGGTTTTTAGTTCACTTATTGTTTTAGAAAAATTGGATTGAAACTTGATTTTGTTTGATTAATTAAATTAATAAAACGACTAGATAAATTAATAAATGATAAATTAATAATTTTAGGGCCAATTACAAAATGAAAAATTTTGTCAAATGGTTACTTGGTTTGGTTAATGGTTGGTGGTTGGTTAGGTTGAGTTTAAATTCTTTTAAAAGTTTTTTTTATTATTTAAACTTTGATTTAATCAATGTTAAACTATCACAATTTTTAAATTTGTAATAGTTATTGCTTTGGTTATTAATACAAAGATCGAACACACAGAAAAAAGTTTTTTAGGTAAAACTTGACCTGTGCCTCAGTTGGTAAGAGCAATGTAACGGTGCAGTATGATCGTGGATTTAAGTCCCACCGGGTCCAATAAATATTACTATGTTTTCGCTCCTATATTAATAATCATAACACAATTAATGGATTTATTTCACAAAATTCTCAAATAATATGTAAAAAATGCATTTTGTTTAATTTAGATTTTTTTTTCAATAACGACTGAGTAAGCCTTTATTAAGTCGTTGTTAAAATATGCTAATTTAATTCTTATTATTTAGATATAAAAGTTCCTATATTATATTATCATTATTTTTGTTCCGCTAAATAATAATAATAACGCACACACTCAACATAGCCCCGCACTAGGAAAACCCTGTGTCTCAGGTGCCATGGACACACACATAGACAACCACAAATTACACCCAAACTCACGAGAGAAATAAATGTAGACCATACAAATATTTCTCCCGGCCCGGGAATCGAACCTGGAACCTCTGCGCGGCAGTCCGGCATGGTAACCGTTCGGCAACGGAGGCAGTTGCAGTTATAAATAAATATGTACATTCTATGAGTGAGTGGCTATGGGACATAGGATCTTAAGTGCCGATGCGATTTACGAGGTTTTTGTTGAAATACAAAACAGTTTCTTCGTATTTAGATGACAAAATTTGAGGCAGTAACCCATTTAGGTTATTCAAGTCATTTCTATCTGTATTGCAAATTATAGATTTGAAACCCCTGGAGTTTGTTACTCATCCTTCTCAGGGGAATTTTGGACATAGTTTAATAAAAGAGATAATAGTTTTACCAATATAATAGTGTACTACTACATTGGATTTTTATTCAAACAGAAGTAAAGAAATAAGAAGGTCGCTGCAATTTGTTTGTATAACAAGCATCATTGTTAAAGAAAGGAGAGAAAGGAAAATAGTTTTAAGTGATTATGTAAATAGAAGAGGTCCTTGTTCCAAGCAAAGTTCTTTGGAAGGTGGGCGATTATATTTTGAGGTTTTACCATCCGTTGAGGCCGTGTCCGTAGCCAGCGTAGCTGAGACTCTTGTAGCCGAGACCCGTGTAACCGAGACCGCCGTAGCCGAGACCCGTGTGGCCGAGACCCGTGTGGCCGAGACCCGTGTGGCTGATTCCCGTGTGGCCGAGACCCGTGTGGCCGAGACCCGCGTAGCCGAGGCCCCTGTACCCGAGTCCCCCGTATCCATAACCGCCATAGCCGGCGTATCCGCCATGTCCAGCGTAACCTGCTCCATACGCGGAATAAGGAGCAGCGTAAGATTTGTAAAGACCGCCGTAGGCATACGGGCTGCCGTGAGAAACAGTGGACGAGTACGCGGAAACTACTGGCGCATGAGAGTACGCCAAAGGAGCGACTCCGGTGTATGCTAGCGGGGCGGCGTGTGCGGCGTAACCTGCGCCGGCGTAAGCCACAGGGGCGGGATGAACAGCAAGACCAGGATCTTTGCGAACGACGGCGTTAAATCCAGTGTGAGGATTGGCAGCGTAGTCGACTGTTCTTTTCGTGCCATCAGATTCGAGAAGAGAATATTGGCCGACGACGCTGTCGCCCACGCGTTTCTCATGCTGGTTCTTGACGTCACCGGTGTGGGGGTCGGAGACGCCGTACGAGAAGCTGGAGTAGCCGCCGCCGTGGATCGCTCCGGCGTGCACAGCTGCAGCCAACAGCGCTATCAATACCACCTGGCAATCAATTCAATCATTCAATCAAGAACAAAATCGAACGTATATACTCAGCAGTGGGTGATTTCGGGTAGAGATAGATGAGGATGTTAACAAATACTGAACAACAGACAAGGGGGTCTACTCAAGTTCTCAAATAAGAAGTTGTAATTTCACCAGCACCCTTCGAAACCGAAACTCAGTACTTCCCTGGACGAAGTATCAATTGCGAAAACTAATACTTGTTACAAGGACACGTTAAGAACAGAAATGTATGTGTATTGAACAAAAGCAACTTAATTAATTATAATTTTGTTTAATTTAAATTCTATTTACCTTGAAAATCATTTTTTCTATTGTTACCATTTGATGCGTTGATAACGACTGGTGTATAATTTTTGATTGTCCGCCTTTTTATACTTAGGTTAATTTTAACTTTATTAGTTAATGCAATGGTTTTGTCAGGAAACGATAAATGCTAAATAATGGCCTACGGAAACTTCTTTCCTTTTACTTACAACTTATTAATGAATTTATTCAAAACCATAAAATTAAATAAGGTTAACATTTTGTAATATTATAATAATAATGCAAATTATAATAAAAGTCAAACGCAGAAGTTAACTAGTTGGAATGATTTGAAATTGTGTTGTTGATTCCAGAAATATGCCACGCGTTTACTTTGTAAATATTGGAAATCAAAACCTATTTGACAAGCAATGCGAATGAAAACTAAAATGTTTAATAAAATATAAATTACTCAGCTGAAGACCGTAATAGTCAAGTTCTCTCTCTCTCTCTCTCTCTCTCTCACACACACATAGATGTAATAACAGTAGAGCTTCTTGTGAAAGAGTTTTTTTTATTTAGTATTGTTTTATTTACAAGTAAAAAGTCCACAGTAATAAACAAAAAAACATCGAATGAAAACCAACAGTAGATTGTATATTAAGGATGGAAGAATAATTAATAATTTTAAAAAACTCGAGTTTTGTATTTTTTTACCGTCCGTAACACATACAATGTTTTTCACCACATTTGCGAGGAAATAAATACAATGTTTATTTCTTGTATGAATAAATATCATTCACAACACAATGTTGTAAAAAGCAAAGACGATGACGAAGACGGCTGAATTGTAAAGAAATTTCTGTTTAGATAACATTTTAAGCGAAAGTTTCAATGTTGTACTTCAGTAACCGTTTTGCTTCAACTTAAATCTGACCTATTTAAGGCAGTACGTCGCGCTACAAATAAAGAATTCTCTTTACCGACCATGGCTGTAATGGCAAGAGAAGTACTGCCACCCTACCATTTCTGCCGTTAAGCAGTAATGTGAGAGTTAAGTGAAATAACAGACACTTGGGACTTGTTGTAATTTATGTCTGTGGGTGACGGGCGTAATGGCAGTACCCCTCAGATCTTTGTGATTTAAAGCTCTGTGTAGCTCTGCAACTGTTATATACATAGACAGGCGTGTCACACAACCAGGAGCACGACTTGATCATCCCATTACGTAGTATCATAAAAACATACATACATAGGTCCTTGTGTAAGTGTTCGTCCAGGGAATTACTGACATCATTCCTACTTCTACCGTCCAGCAGTAACGTGAGGTTTTAGAGGCATTAGGTGATATAACTGGCACATGGGGCTTGTAAATAGTAAAAGTTAAAGATCGTTTAACTTAGTTAAGCGAAATCGTGGTACCATGACTTTGGACTTGGATATATTCTGGTATTTCAGCTTCCCGAAATCAATATTTTTTTTATAAGTGTGAATGGGCTTTTGTTAGATAAACTGTGTACCTTCTTCAGTCGGTGAGATTATAGGATAGGCTAGCTAGGATAGAATACTATACACGCAGTATTCTTAAATAAAAAACTTCGCAATAGCGCACCTGGAGATCTGTTTGTCTCTGTCTTTTTGTCTGTAACTTAAATTTCCCACAGGTGACATTGTGGACAAACGTGACCTTATATCTAATATTTAAAACATACTAGCTGTACTACCTGTAAGGCATGTGTTGTAACGCCACTAAAAGAAAAAAAAACTGCAACAATTGTTAAAACAAAAGAAGGTCATGTAGTAGAAAAGTGCATTTGCAAAACTGCCTTGTCGGCTTTAGACACATTTGTTAAGACAACTCGCCGTCATGATATTTTTAAATGGTTCTAATACTTGCGAGTGTAGACGTAGTAATTCATGTAAATTTCATCGCAATCGAATAATAAGAGAATGCATAATACGAATAAACAAGATTTTTTATATATAGAGATATAGAATTGAATATATTAGTCATATTTAAATTCAATTAATATACTCGTAAATGCATTCAAATATATATTTACAAAGAGCAACCCCTAAGATTTCTTGTTCATTCTCCTCAGGAGAATCTGCCTTAGGGCGCGTTCCCACTATGTCGTCACGTTCTATTATCGTTGGACGACTGTCGTGTCTAGCCTGTTTCCATATCACGACTATCTGTCGTGGACGATTTTTTATCGTTGAACGACTGTCGTGACTAGCTGTTCCCACTAGATCATGACGACAATTTATCGTTTCACGACAGCCTGCTTGCCCGTCTCTGGCTACGACGCTACTGCAAAGCGAGCAGAGGGCGCGGGGTACGAGAGGGGAGGGCAGGGAGCAGAATACGTGCGGACAGCGGTAAATAAAACGTGACGACAATAGGAGCTGCGACAATCTGTCGTCACGTTTTTATCGTGACGTTTTTTTATCGTCTGACGACTGTCGTTCTAGCTGTTTCCACTGTGACGATAGTTTGTCGTTGTAACGATAAAAAATCGTGAACGATAGTTAATCGTGTCGTCCTATATGTGAACAAATCCATTTAAATATACAAGCCACGACACTGTAAACAGCACGACAATCTGTAGTCACGACTTAGTGGGAACGCGCCCTTACGCAGTAATTACGTAATAAAATGTACAGTTTAAAAAATATTTCCACCAGCTCGTTCATTACCAACTGTACGCAAATTATTTGGAACTTACAACGCTCATTACGTAATTACAATGGAACAGGGAACATTATCTTAGATATTCAAACATTAAACACTCGTTGCTAGTTTAATTATCGCCTAGATGAGTGTTAATGCAACATCTCCATGCATAATACAATTTCTTATGACCCCTAAAACTACAGTGCAGAGATTTCTTGCGAATATAAATAATCCGCCCACCCTCGGGTTTATCATTCACTCGCCAAAGACGAACAATAGCACACGTCAGAAATATGGTAGCCAAGGTAAACTTTCAAATATTTAAAAAAATATTAATTGACGGGACAAACAATCTGCGCCTGGTGGTGAGGGACACACCTGCCTACAACAGTTGCAATATCACTCATTTCTTTAAAACGTAAAGACTTGAGAGATACCGCCATTGTGCCCGTCACACTGAGACAGAAAGTTGACAAGTCCCATGTGATTGTACTTCACTACTGCTTGACGGCATAAATATGGCAGCAGTTATTCCCCTAGACGAAGTCTGTCACAAGGAGCTTTACTGCTATCTAAATTGTAGATTATGTTGTCTGTAAACATTTCACGCTTAGCGAAACACCTTGAGAATTTTAATTGGTAACATTTTATATTCAGTTTTGTTCAAAAATGTTTCTTTCTTTTGCAGTTATTAGTTGTTGCCTTGTTCGTGGTGGCAGTGAACGCCAGCGGTCAAAGTTACTCCTACTCCTATGGAGTCAATGACCCTCAAACCGGAGATGTGAAAGAGCAGAACGAAAAGCGCATTGGAAATAATGTTGTAGGCCAGTATTCTCTATTGGAGTCCGATGGCACCAAGCGTGTTGTCAACTATGCTGCCAATCCTCATACTGGATTTAACGCTGTCGTCCGTAAAGTTCCTGCTCATGGTGTCCACCCGTCTCCTGTGGCATACGCTGGACAGAGCGTCGGTTACGGAGCCCATGGAGTGGGAGTTGGTTACGGCGCTCCTGTCGCACCTTTGGCTTACGCTGCTCCTTTAGCCCACGCTGGCTATAGCGCTGCTGGGTATGGCGCACCGGGATATGGTGCTGTAGGACACGTTGCTGTGGGATACGGTGCTGTGGGACACGGTGCTGTGGGATACGGCGCTGTGGGACACGGTGCTGTGGGACACAATGCGGCAGTTTATGCTGGTCCTTACGCCAGTACCGGCACTTCTTATTCCAACCAAGTGTCCTACAACGGTGCTCATATTCCATACGCGGTTAAAGCGTATGGAGCTAACGGTGTGTACGGTGCTCATGGAGCTTATGCCGGCAATGGCGGCTGGGCTGTCACCAATGGCGGTTACGGTGCTTATGGAGCTGGATATGGCGCTGGTTATGGCGGATATGGAGCGGGATATGCCGGTCATGGTGGATACGGCGGTTACGGAGCGGGATTTGCCGGTCACGGTGGATACGGTGCCGGTTACGCTGCGCCTCTGGCTCTTGGACCTACTGGTCTCGGATATGGTGCTAAAAACGGATGGTAAAAGGCTAAAAGTGAACTACTTGTAGGAAACTTGGATCTCTACTGTGATAAATGTTAAGTGACTTGAAATAAATGATCTCTAAAACTTTAAGACTGTTTTTAACTTTTCCTGTATGTTCTATGCAATGTTAAGAGAGTGTTATCATCGTCAACAACCGATTATACGTTCCACAATGTTGCACGTGTATTTTTCTAAGGAGAGCGTTCAGGCAATGCGAGTTGGGGACTGATACGTATTCCGAGAATCTTTTTAGTTATGCAGATTTCATTACGAACTTTTTCTGCAACGTTAGCGTCAATTGAATTTCATAAATGTTTGTAGATATTAAATATTTGCCGTCACAGAGATTCGATCTGTCGTCCTCTCAATTATTATTGAAATATATTAAAGTAATGATGTCCCAGTTAGCCACACTAATTACCTGGTTCAAACTGGGGAAAATCCCACGAGTACCAGAGCAACGTAATTCACCCAAATCAGAGCCAATTTAGAAAAGGTCATTTCTTAAATTGGTCCTACCGGGGAACGATTCCTCGACCCCCTTGTCCAGTGCACACCGAGGTCGTCCTAATTGAAAAGTTGTTCTCGTATTAGACGATCACCAATTAGTGAAAAAAGAACCACAAGATTTATGACCAATATGAGCTATACGTAAGAGTACTTATTACGATTCAGTTACATCAAATAACAAAAAATGACACAACAGCGATTAAATAATTCCTGCCTACCTTGTCGTTGGTAAAATCTCAGACTGAAAATACTTTCTCTTAAGCGACCTAGAGCGTGCGCGTACGCTTTCCGGCTCGATTGTTACTTCCTATAAGCACGAATGAATGTACAGGAGTAGTATATAAGACAAACTAAATTCAGGACTAATCATTCGCAGATCACTGTGCAAACAAATCAAACGTATCAAAATGGCAGCTAAGGTAAATAATATTGTATAGTGGTGAAATAAGTGAAGTGCAGGATTCACTGACCAAGGATTCATGTTGTGAATTATAATAATTGTTTTGAATTACGGACAGTGCGAGTAAATTTGACAAATGGCCGGCTCTTGCAGAGGCTAAAGTTTAAAATTCGTTTTGTAAATGTGCCAAACTTGCTTAGATCGCAATTCTTGGTCAAAGGCTAAGTTTGTTCTACAAATCTCAGCCTTGATTCCAAATACTATTCAGTTTAAGATATTTTGCCCAATTAAGCCCGCCTAAGATTTTAGGGACAAGGAGGTGGCTGGAAAACAGCGCTATCTGCGACAACAAGGGTTCCAGGCAGCACAAACTGAGACACCTGTTTGTGCTATCTAACATGTTTGGCGTACCGCTTATTTTTTGTTTATTTAACATGTTATTTATGTCCAAAAAGTGTCATTGTGGCAATAAAGAATTTTTGTGTTTGTATTTATCAACAGTTCGTAGTGCTCGCTATGCTAGTGGCTGCTGCTTCGGCCAGCGGCAACAGCTACACGTACTCGTACGGCGTGGCGGACCCGCACACCGGTGATGTGAAGGGCCAGCACGAGACCCGTGTCGGCGACAGCGTCGTGGGTCAATACTCGCTGCTCGACTCCGACGGCACAAAGCGCACTGTTGACTACGCCGCTGGACCCCACACTGGCTTCAACGCTGTCGTTCGCAAGGACGCCGCCCTAGTTGCCGCTCCAGTCGTCGCACACGCTGCTCCTTTGGCCGTCGCCCATGCCGCTCCACTGGCCCATGCCGCCTACGCTGCTCCCCTGGCCCATACCGCCTATGCCGCTCCTCTGGCTCATACCGCATACGCCGCTCCTCTGGCTCATGGTGCTGTTGCCTATGGCGCTCGAGGATTCGGCTATGGTGCCCATGGTCTGGGCTACGCAGGCCTTGGCCTTGGTCTCGGCTATGGCGCTCACGGTTTCGGTTATGCGGCTGGCTGGTGAAAAACGTGTTAAAATAATTTAGAAATTAAAAATGAACTGTGATTCAAATATATGAAATAAAAATATTTTATAAAAATGTTAGTATTTTCATTTCCTGTGAATTATTTTATAAAGCTCCATCGATGTTAAAATTACTTTATTCAACACTTACAGCCAATCGTTTTACTCGAGCGGCCTGTGGGTTAAGTATATGAAATGAGTTTACAACGCCCTACGCGTTCAATGCCATAAGGCTTTCAGGATGCTGTTGAGACTACCAAGATGGTATAGTGCATCAGGCATGTTCGCAGAGGCGCAAGTAGATGGCTCACAAGCGATAATGCGGAAAAAATAGTATCGCTTATAACACGTGACGGAAGTTAGCCACAACAGCATCCTAAAAAAGGTTGCAGGCAGGTTTGATTGTCCTATCCTCTATAAGTACTAGGTTAGGCAAATCAAACCTGTTTTTATATATATTAAATAAAATGTCGTTATATCGTGTATACTAACCTATTTTAAGTGAAAATCTTAGTAACAATTGGACGTAGTTAAGCAAAAAGGATCCAATCCACAAAATTATCAAAGAATGAGTTATATGTACCAAACGGTTCCTAAAGTCTAGCCTCTTAGATCAACAAAAAAAAAATCTAACATATAAACATAAATAAATATCTCTGGAGATACATGACATTATACGTTTTGAAAACAAAACAAGAGTGAGAAACACTTTTAAACTTCAAACTGCCATATCTCGAAAGGATCCAAATATCTTTTATGTTTAATTGCGTCCAATTTATATTTGTCAATGCGTGAAATAAAGAATTCCATTCTATTCTATAAATATTAATAAAACTTAAGCGTAGAGACCAAATATCAGTATCTGTGCATCTGCTAGTAGGTTTGAAAGGGTTGTAACCCTAACTAGCCTTGAATAGGTTTACGGCAATGAAACGGGAAACTTCCGGTCAACAAAATTTATTAAAGAAGTAAAGTTGAAAGAAAGGGCTGTAACAATATAAGGTAAATGTAAAAAAAAACAGGTACAACAGTATAAAGCACTCCCTACACTTTAATAAAGGCACTTACCCCTAAATGGGCCGAGAAACCGAATTACAGAAATAGATACATGAAGGATGTAGACTTATAAATTATTACACATGATTAGCTTATTAACAGCTCCGACTGTTGTGGCGGTCGAGCTGGGAGTGACCGTGGTACGAAAACAAAATGAAAAAGTGAAGGAAGATGGAACAATTAAAGTTTAAAATTTAAATACATATAAAAAAAAAAAAAATGATAGGATACAAGCGGAGAGAGGCGATACAAAAAGGTGAGATGACGGTGTAAGGAGGTCACACCATCACAGGTTGAATACGATGTACCCAATTCACCGATCACAGACGTTCCATGAATAATAAAAATGCTGTAAAATTACAGGAAAATTTTAATTTAGTACATGAAATGTATAGATATTCGATTTTGACAGAGATGAATCTAGCCATAAACACGTTATTTTATTCGAGGCGTGTTATTTTGACGAGCCGTGTTTTATATTTATCGAATTATTAGGTTTCCGCGATTGTTACACATCGATGCCTTACTTTCTCAAACTCGTATCTTAAAGCACAAAGTAACTGAAACGCAAAAATGCATTATTTTTTATATATGACAGGCAGATGACTCTATTCCACTTGATGTAAAATGGAAAATGGAATCCGAACGTGAAGGAAGCTTAATGATAATTAGTGTTAATATAATCACCACCCTAGCCACCTCCAATCTACTTGCTAACAAGATGTCTTTTCATGCCTCGTTTGAAGAACCCTATATCGTAAGACGGAGGAAGTATATGCCCAGTTTGAATTTGATTGCCTCTCCCGATCGGAAACTGCGTCTCTTCCGAGTCGAGCCGCATAATTGCGATCCACAATTGGTCGATCGGAAAATTTTGACATTTCAAATCGGAACAATATTAACTCACAAATTAGAAAGATATAGCAGGAATCAGGTTCATCTTCTCTCTCGGAAACCCATCTGATTTCGAGACTACCCGATTTGAATCAAAATCAGTCTGCTGGAAGGGAGTTCCATTTCTCAGGTGCTACCATACCTTTTAGTTCTCGATGGAATACGGCTAGTTGTAAAACGGTGACTACGAAGGCCCGCACGCGTGCTTCGGAGCAGGAAAGGGGAGGACGGGATAAGGTTGAACAGTTCTTCAGAGCACTCGCCATGGTAAATCCGATACAGGGCGCTAAGTGATGCAACGTCTCTACGCAGTTTTAGAGGTTCAAGGTGTGATGAGATATACAAATTGTGCAGGTCGATTTTACATCATATTTCCTTCATATTCACACACTAGCTTTTACCTATTTCTAAAGTAATACATCCAAATTAGCACCCTTTATAAGAAATTTAAAATAAATTGAAAATTTTGCCATCTCCTGAAAAATTTCTCTTTATAAGACACGTGTTTGAATAAGTAAGGCATCGTTATGTAATAATCGCGAAAACCTAATTACTAAATAAATATAAAACAGGGCTCGACAAAATGATACGCCTCGAATAAAACAACGTGTTTGTGGTCAGATTCATCTCTGTCATATTTATGAATAATATACGAATATCTACACTAATATCATGTACTTAATTAAAATTTGAGGGCGTTGTAAACTCATTTCATATACTTAACCCACAGGCCGCTCGAGTAAAACGTAATTTTAACATCGATGGAGCTTTATAAAATAATTCACAGGAAATGAAAATACTAAAATTTTTATAAAATATTTTTATTCCATATATTTGAATCACAGTTCGATTTTTATTTCTAAATTGTTTTAACACGTTTTTCACCAAGCAGCCGCATAACCGAGACCGTGAGCGCCATAGCCGAGACCAAGGCCATGGCCTGCGTAGCCCAGACCATGGGCGCTATAGCCGAGTCCTCGAGCGCCATAGGCAACAGCACCATGAGCCAGAGGAGCGGCATAGGCGGTATGGGCCAGAGGAGTGGCGTATGCGGTATGAACCAGAGGAGCGGCGTAGGCGGCATGGGCCAGGGGAGCAGCGTAGGCGGCATGGGCCAGTGGAGCGGCATGGGCGACGGCCAAAGGAGCAGCGTGTGCGACGACTGGAGCGGCAACTAAGGCGGGGTCCTTGCGAACGACAGCGTTAAAGCCGGTGTGGGGTCCAGCGGCGTAGTCAACGGTGCGCTTTGTGCCGTCGGAGTCGAGCAGCGAGTATTGGCCCACGACGCTGTCGCCGACACGGGTCTCGTGCTGGCCCTTCACGTCGCCGGTGTGCGGGTCCGCCACGCCGTACGAGTACGTGTAGCTGTTGCCGCTGGCCGAAGCGGCAGCCACTAGCATAGCGAGCACTACGAACTGTTGATAAATACAAACACAAAAATTCTTTATTGCCACAATGACACTTTTTGGACATAAATAACATGTTAAATAAACAAAAAATAAGCGGTACGCCAAACATGTTAGAGAGCACAAAGAGGTGTCTCAGTTTGTGCTGCCTGGAACCCTTGTTGTCGCAGACAGCGCTGTTTTCCAGCCACCTCCTTGTCCCTAAAATCTTAGGCGGGCTTAAATGGACAAAATATCTTATACTGAATAGTATTTGGAATCAAGGGTGAGATTTGTAGAACAGACTTAGCCTTTGACTAAGCATTGCGATCTAAGCAAGTTTGTCACATTTACAAAACGAATTTTAAACTTTAGCCTCTGCAAGAGCCGCCCATTTGTCAAATTTACTCGCACTGTCCGTAATTCAAAACAATTATTATAATTCACAACATGAATCCTTGGTCAGTGAATCCTGCACTTCACTTATTCCACCACTATACGATATCATTTACCTTAGCTGCCATTTTGATACGTTTGATTTGTTTGCACAATGATCTGCGAATGATTACTCCTGAATTTGGTTTGTCTTATATACTACTCCTGGACATTCATTCGTGCTTATAGGAAGTGAGAATCGAGCCGGAAAGCGTACGCGCACGCTCTAGGTCGCATAAGAGAAAGTATTTTCAGTCTTAGATTTTACCAACGACAAGGTAGGCAGGAATTATTTCATCGCTGTTGTGTCATTTTTTGTTATTTGATGTAACTGAATCGTAATAAGTACTCATGCGTAGAGCTCATATTGATCATAAATCTTGTGGTTCTTTTTTCATTAATTGGTGATCGCCTAATACGAGAACATTTTTTCAATTAGGACGACCTCGGTGTGCACTGGACGAGGCGGTCCAGAAATCGCTCCCCGGTAGGACTTTAAGAAATGACCTTTTCTAAATTGGTTCTGATTTGGGTGAATTACGTTGCTCTGGTACTCATGGGAATTTCCCCAGTTTGAACCAGGTAATTAGTGTGGCTAACTGGGACATCATTACTTTAATATATTTCAATAATAATTGAGAGGACGACAGATCGAATCTCTGTGCCGGCATATATTTACTATCTACAAACATTTATGAAATGCAATTAACGCTAACGTTGCAGGAAAAGTTCGTAATAAGATCTGCATGATTAAAAAGGTTCTCGGAATACGTATCAGTCCCCAACTCGCATTGCCTCAACGCTCTCCTCAGAAAAAAACACGTGCAACATTGTGGAACGTATAATCGGTTGTTGATGATGGTAACACTCTCTTAACATTGCATAGAACATACAGGATAAGTAAAAAAGTGTCTTAAAGTTTTAGAGATGTAACATTTATCGCAGCAGAGATCCAAGCTTTCTACAAATAGGTGAATTACTAGCCTTTACCATCCGTTTTTAGCTCCATATCCGAGACCAGCATTATTATTATTAAGCGTGTTAGTTGGGATGCTTTACTTTATTAGCCAGTGTGTGAATATGAAGGAAATATGACGTGAAATCGACCTGCACTATTTGTATATACTATGCATTTTAGCATTTAAGTTACTTTGTGAAAGTAAGGCAACGATATAGGAAAATAAACTATTTTTTCGGATTCAAATCATCTATATTAGTTTTTACAAAAAAACACAACGTTGGTTTAAATCTGTAAACAATTATTATGGTATTTAGATGCGAAAAACTAGTTTCATATCTTATGTGTAACAATCACGCTAATGTAATGGAAACCTATCACAAAGTCGAAAATATTTTGTTCGAAATATAGTTTGTTCAAATTTTCAATACACCGAAAACCGAATCATAACGAAACAGTTGTTCTTTCAGGATATGTTGAATGTTTATCGGAAAGACACGATTAGGTTCGGTTAGGCTAGGTTAAGTTAGGTTTAAAAGAAAAAACATTTTCCTCTCTAAATTACTTTCGAGGTTATGAAATTTCGACCAAACGTTATTTCTGTAAAATGTCATTTCGGACTACCGCTAGGTAACCTAATGTAACTTTGTTGGTAGATCAATGGTCATAGGTATAAACACAGCTCGACAAAATAACACGCCTAGAATTAAACAGTGTGTTTTGAGCTAGATTTCTTACCAGGCTTAGAAACAAAAAGTTTTGATAGAGAAATCTTAACCACTAGTCACTGTCGACTTAATATAAAAAAATTGGCAATGGCACTTTTTTATTTAGTTAATTATTAAACATGACTGATTCAATTTAATGAAACTATATGATTACTTACTTCTAAAGTTCAATAATATAGAAGGTATATACCGCAAATTTAACATTTGTAATCAGGAGCTGTAGTCGTAGTTTTTGTTATTGGACTCGTTATCTTCTGGTAGCTATTAAGACAAGATAAGGTAAATTTAATTCAGTATAACTTAATCTAATATAATATAAGGAAAACAAATGCATAGACAAGGAAAATAAACAAGAAGAAAGGAAGCTAAATTATACAATGTTCGTAACAAATATGTTCAATTGAGATGTATAAACTAAATAAATGTGTACCTGTATTTTAGGCATCTTTTTGGGCAAATTTCTTTAATTTACAACTTATAAACAGATTTTCTATACTTTACAATAAAAGAATTAGTAGGTATATAATCGTTATTTGTTATACAAGGCCGCAAACATGTTTTTTGACGTGAGTGCTTGTATTGAAACTTGAGCAAGCGAAGAAGCCTAAGATTCAAAAATGGAATTCTGAGCGCAGCGAAGAAAACAAGGCACAATTTTGCTGCCGAGCGAAACACGCAACTTTTCACCTCTCTATAGCGATGAAAATTGTAAATGAGAAAAATAGTTGAACTATAACAAAGTTTTATTAAACAAAATTAGCTATCGTTCTCAATTTAATGTCAACAATACTTAATAAGAATAAAATATACCATCGGATTTATATTACCAGCCTAGAATAGCACCACCCCCCTCTCATCCTGTGAGTGTCGTAAAAGGCGACTAAAGGAAAATTGCCAGAAGTAGACGGGCAGCAGCGTCTTCTACCTATCTTGGCCAGAGCCATGATCGACAACCCGCCTGTCAAGCGTGGCGACTATGTCAAACCCCCCCATGGTACACACACCAAAGAATTAGCCCCTAGTCCCCTGCAGTCCTGCTCTTCCTAGTCACGGTAGCGACTTTGGAAACAGGGCATGGGCTGCGAAGAATCCCCGGTGGAGACCCGGCTACCATCAACGACGACGACTGGACCTGGCAACCTACAACACGCGCACATTGAGGACCGACGCAAAGCTCACAGAATTGGAAGAAGCTATTAGTAAGCTACGTTGGGATATTATTGGGCTATCTGAAGTCCGAAGAGAGGGGAAGAACTCGATAATCCTTAACTCCGGCTATAATACGGGGAGGGCGACTAACGGTCCCTTGGCGGTGTCGGGTTTATCGTCCACAAGGCCCTCGTTAACAATGTGATTTCCATCGGAAGTGTGGCGACCAGGGTGGCATACCTGATACTCAGACTATCAAAACAATATTCGTTGAATGTCATTCAGGTTTATGTTCCGACCTCGACGCACCCAGATAACGAAGTGGAGGCTTTGTATGAGGAGATCTCAAAAGCTATGTATAGCAACAAAACCCACTACACGGTTGTTATGGGGTACTTCAATGCAAAGTTGAGAAAGCGTTGCGGTGATGAGCTAAGAGTGAGGTAATTTGGAGTTGGGCAATGGAACGCCAGAGGTCGGATGTTCATGAACACCTTTTTCAGGAAATCTACAACTCGAAAATGGACCTGGATGAGTCCGGACGGTAAAGTAAAAAATTAGATTTACTTTATCATGTCGACGAAAAAGCATATATTCAATGATGTCTCTGTGATGAACACCGTTAAAACAGGAAGTGATCATCGGTTGGTACGAGGCATATTGAATATCAATATCAGGCTTGAAAGATCTCGACTGATAAAGTCTACGCTCCGACCAATACCAGCACAACTCCAAAACCACCAGAGCTTTCAATTCGAACTTGGGAACCGCTTCGAGGCCCTCGAAAACGGCATAGATGTGGACGATCTAAACAACATGGTGGTGGATACTGTCCGTACGGTTGGGTATAAGTTTTTCAAAACCCACCGTACCAGAACGAAGAAACTCTCCGACAAAACACTCCAACTCATGGAACTGAGACGTGAAATGAGGCTACAGAACTCAGAGGATGCAAGTAACTGCAGGCGGCTAAATAAGCAGATATTGAAGACTGTGACTAGCGACATACACCAATTTAATACAGAGCGTATTTTTATATCAATTTCAATAAAGAGGCCTCAATTTAATAAAGAGGCCATTGAGCGGAACAAAGGCTTGAAGTTGTTTGCGAGAAATCTGTCTATTGGGCAAAGTCAACTGATCAAGCTGAAAACTGATGACGGTATCATCATTTCATCTAAGCGTGAAATTCTGAGGGAGATAGAGTTTCTATCGACAGTTATACAGAAGACCGAGGAGTATAACCGGTCACTTTGCTTAGCGTTTGTGGACTATGAGAAGGCATTTGATTCGATCGAGATTGGGCGTTGCTGCAGTCTCTTCAAAGGTGCCAAATAGACTATAGGTATATCGAGGTGTTCAGGTACTTATACAAAAACGCCACTATGTCAGTCCGATTACGGGATCAGAGCTCTAATCCTACTCAACTGCAACGAGGCGTGGGACAGGGAGATGTGATATCTCCGAAATTGTTCACTGCTGCGTTGGAGGATGTTTTCAAGCTTCTGGACTGGAAAGGACTTGGCATCAACATCAACGGCGAGTATCTAACACACCTTCGATTTGCCGATGATATAGTTGTTATTGCTGACACCTTGGGAGACATGAAAACAATGTTCAAAGATCTCAGTAGTGTTTCCCATAGAGTGGATCGTAAGATGAACATGGGCAAGACGAAGATCACGTCGAATGCCCATGCTGTACCCGCTCCAGTTAAAATTGGGAGCACTACACTCGAAGTTGTTGACCATTACGTGTTCCTGGAACAGACAGTCCAGTTAGGTAAGTCCAACTTTGAGAAAGAGATCTCTCGTCGAATTCAGCTCGGATGGGCAGCGTTCGGGAAACTACAAAAAATCTTCGCGTCCAAATTACCTCAATGTCTCAAGACGAAAGTCTTTGACCAGTGTTGCCAGTGATCACATATGGATCAGACACGTGGTTCCTCAATATGGACCTCATAAGAAGGCTCACGGTCACTCAGCGGGCAATGGAGAGAGCGATGCTCGGTATTTCCTTACGTGATGGAATCAGAAATGAGGAAATCCGTAGGAGAACTAAGGTAACCGACATAGCTCGAAGAATTGCTCAGCTGAAGTGGCAGTAGGCGGGGCACATAGCTAGGAAAACCGATGGCCGTTGGAGCGGAAAGGTTCTCCAGTGGCGACCGCGCACCGGACGACGCTCAGTGGTTAGGCCCTCCACCAGGTGGACCGACGATCTGGTAAAGGTCGCGAGAAGCCGATGAATGCTGGCTGCGCAGGACTGATCGTTGTGGAGATCGTTGGGGGAGGCCTATGCTATGCCCAGCAGTGGGCGTCGTATGGCTAAATGATGTATGAGAAATCGCGTAGTTGAATGTGTCATTATGTTTTTTTTTTATCGAAAGAAAAAGTTAGGTGCACCAATGTCCATTGTCAAGTTCGAATGTCAAAAACCTTTTCCACACTAGCGTGGAAAAACGCTTAAGCGCACGGATTGCTAATGAGGAAGAAAGTTTTTCCGGGCTAGTGAGGTGAAAATATAATTATAAAACAACTTCCAGAAAGCCCTCTGTTCAATGTAAGTTTTACTCTTAAGTCCGGATTTGACAATCGTTTTACATTCTATTTTATTCAGGCCGAAATAACGCAAAGTAGAATTTAATTTAAAGGAATTCATCAAGGAGTCAAAAGAATGTATGTGAGTTTGCTATACGGAGTTGTGTACGTGATGAAAAGATATCGAGTTGCTGTGATTGGTGGTGGAAAGACATACATATAATTACAATTTTTTTATTTAATCAGAGTGTTAGCAACTGCCTCTAGCAGAGTGTAATTTACTTTGAAAACAATGCCCTAATGTTCGGAATTTGGCGATGTTAGACATAATTATATTCCTATCGAGGTAGGCAAAGACAGTGTCAATGTTCGTTCTCTTCCACTGTTGCCTTGCATGTTATGTTTTTTTACTACGTCCTCTTTCAGACCACATCATTCATGGATTAGTGTTGTCTTCACTTTGTCACATAACTCCACATTATGTAAATGTTATGTTCATTACTAAATATCATTTCATTTTCATTCATCCTTTTGTGGATCATTCAGCGCATGTACAGACTTAATAATATCCGGTTAGCGGTTACTATTTATATTATATATACGATTGCCACGCAGAGGTCCCAGGTTCGATTCCTTGGCCTGGAGATCATGCAATTATTTATGACCTACATTTATTTCTATCGTAAGTTTGGGTGTAATTTGTGGTTGTCTATGCATGTGTCCATGGCACCCGAGACGCAAGGTTTCCCTACTGCGGAGCTGTGTTGAGTGTGTGCGTTATTATTATTATTTTACAATTCAAATACGAACGTGTATGATAAATGTTTTTTTTATGTACCTAGTACGTTGATGAAGACTTTCACTCCTAGAATTAGTAGACATACATGTAATAGAATAGGTCGTAGTATATCAATACTAAATTTTTTGTCTTCAACTTTGTGATTTAATCGACTCTTTTTTCCAGTATCGTTAGCGTTTTTGTGACTTTATTTATAATTCTGAACAATTAAATTATTCAACCTTGATATGAAAATAATCTTCATTTATCACCGAGTGGTTGAGCCTATCGAGATCCGGTACTTTTACTTTGACATTTAGAATTACAATGATGGCTTTACAAGAACAGCTTCAATTCTACTTTCTCTTGCTACTGCATCTTGTTGGCATTAGTTGAATGCTTAGGTACATTTTAAATAGAAATAATGAATATTATTTAAATTTTTATTTATTACATCACAGCAAAGTTGTTCTCCCTGACACAGTCAGGATAAATTACACAAAACACAAATAGGATCTAGTTTTTTACCAGCCACCAGCGTAACCAAGACCATGAGCGCCATAGCCGAGACCAAGGCCATAACCTCCGTAGCCCAGACCATGGGCGCTATAGCCGAGTCCTCGAGCGCCATAGGCAACAGCACCATGAGCCAGAGGAGCGGCATAGGCGGTATGGGCCAGAGGAGTGGCGTATGCGGTATGAGCCAGAGGAGCGGCGTAGGCGGCATGGGCCAGGGGAGCAGCGTAGGCGGCATGGGCCAGTGGAGCGGCATGGGCGACGGCCAAAGGAGCAGCGTGTGCGACGACTGGAGCGGCAACTAGGGCGGGGTCCTTGCGAACGATAGCGTTGAAGCCGGTGTGGGGTCCAGCGGCGTAGTCAACGGTGCGCTTTGTGCCATCGGAGTCGAGCAGCGAGTACTGGCCCACGACGCTGTCGCCGACGCGGGTCTCGTGCTGGCCTTTCACGTCGCCGGTGTACGGGTCCGCCACGCCGTACGAGTACATGTAGCTGTTGCCGCCGGCCGAAGCGACAGCTACTAGCATAGCGAGCACTACGAACTGTAAGCCAAAAACAATATTTGATTATATATTATAAAAATAATGGTAAGAAGGAGTAGCTTTTCTGTCATAACACTTTTGTTTGTTTGGTTTTTTTAAATATAATATCAAGTGATGGAACGAACAAGTCGTGCGACTGACGGTAAGCTACACGCTTGTCCATAACAGTCACAGTGACACTCGGAGCTTTAAATCACGGGGCGCTCGTCACCCTGAGACATAAGTTGACAAGTCCCATGTACTTGTAATTTTACCAGCACCCTAACCCTTCTGATTGGCGGTAGAAATAGGTACAGTGACAGTACTTCCCTGGACGAACTCTTTCACAGGGAGCTCTACTGCTACTATATTGGTCAGTAGGAAAAGAGGTGATTGCACTTTGATATTCCATCCGTATGGTCTTGCAATGGACAATTTAAACAACACTCAAGTAACACCACTGAACACAAAAGAGCCTTTACCTTAGCTGCCATTTTGATACGTTTGTTTTTGTTGCAAAGTGAACTGCGAATGATTATTCCTTAATTTAGTTTGTCTTTTATACAGCTCCTGCACAATCATTCGCTGCTAATAATAGGAAGTAAAAGACATACGCGCTCTAGGTCACGCGGAGTGAGGGTTTTTTCGGAGTTCAATTTCGTTCAACGAGTAATGCGGAACTCGATATCTGTTGACGTCTGACCACGCCAATGGGATGTTATATTTAAGCCCAATATCGTAATAAGTAACGGAAATAATTACTTACATTTTGTTGTCTGCATAGAAATTAGCTACGGTATCACTGACAAAATAACTGAACGGAATGAACCTTGAAACACTTGATGTGTAGACAGATAAAGATGTTACAATTTGCCCAAATTGGAATTTGTGTTAATTAACCGATTTAAATTAAAATCCACCATCTTTGCTTAATGCATGTAGCGCAGTTATTAAAGTTACAACAAAGCTACAATAAATTATACTGAATAGAAAGGTTAAGTGTTGGTAAGTGGGTAATTAGAAAACAAAGGTAAATATTTAGTGGTTGCTATGTAACAAAAGCACTAGACCGTAAAGAAAGCTTTATGAACGGCGCAACAAGTCACGACGATAAGGAAACAAAATATTAAAAAAATATATTTATGTATTTACATCAATTTTATATACATATCAAACGAGACAGTTGATTTAGAAATGGCGAGGGTAGGCGTATGGGTAAGCCCCATAGTAACCGTAATTGTAGGGGGTGTAGTAGGGTGCAGCGTATACGGCAGGAGTGGCGATCAAAGCAGGATCTTTGCGGACAATAGCGTTGAAACCCTCCGCACCAGCAGCATAGTCCACGGTACGGCGGGTACCATCAGGCTCAATAAGTGAATACTGTCCCGCAACATTGTCACCAGCGCGGGTTTCTGTCTGATGTTTGAAGTCGCCGGTGTAAGGGTCAGCGACACCGTACGAGAAGCTGGAGATATCGGAAGTGGTAGCGGCGGCCACGAGGGCGAGAATGAGGACGAACTGCAAGAAAATAAATTTGAATGAAAAATAGGAATTTGGTTCCAAACTTTTGAAATAATGATTTTCGAAAATGAATTTGTTATATTTTTTTAAATTAAACTTGCCAAATTGACACTATGATTGAATCAATCGTATAGAATTGTATTTACGTTACCTTCGCAACCATTTTTGGGGTAGAAATGTAGTTGTGACTACGTCGACTGATTGTTGATGTCTGATGCTTTCCGCTGATCATCTCAATCTTTTTATACAATCCTTATTTATTCCAGATCCAGTTTTATATCGAGCAACTCGTTTAAGAACTTCAGGAAATGTCTAAAAGTCAAGTTCACATAGGGCCGATGCTCCCCAGTAAAAGGTCTCAGCAAATTGTTTACTCTATATAGAGAATAAGTGAATACTAATAAATTGTTGTTTTCGTGTGGAAGGTGTAATCGTTATGGCTTCACTGATGCTCGGTTAAAATGAGATATGTACAGCCTATTTTTTTATAGCTTTTTTAGAGCTTATAACAGAACGCATTAGCATGGATCATAAACCTTACGTATTCTCACAAATTTCAAAGGCCACTTACTGTCAAACCAACAATAAATTAGAGCAAGAAATTTCAGACAAGATGTGATATTTAGACATCCAAGTCCAAGAAGGTGCTTTCTAATGCCAAGATTATCATTGTCCACATAAATATATTTCACATTTGTGATAAAGTAAAAACGTCAACAATATAATATCAAAAGTTTTATTTTATTTCATCAAACTAACACAATACATATACAGAAAGATAAATGGAAGCATTTATATCCTAGCCAAGGCATTACACTTCTCGGACATTGCTAAGGCAATTTCCCTGACTCAGTAAAACCACAAGGCTACCCACTCCAGTCACCAATTATGAACTAATTATCATTCTCCACAAAGACCCAAAGCCTTCATGCATTTTAAAAGGGAAATAAGGGACTTCCAATTGCAAAGTTGCAAAGACAAATCTAGAAGTTGAATTTAAATACGGTTTACGAGTAAATGCAAATTAATGCTGTATAACATGTACATTTTGTTGACCTAAAATGTAGAATCCTTCGTTTGTTAATTGATTTTTTTTTAAATAGTTTCTACGAACACACTTTGTGTTTATATCTATTTGAAAAGTATACATAGTTATAGTAATTTGCAATGTTTATCAAAGAATCGGTGTCCATGTTTCGTCGCGTTTTTGTGCCATTACTTTGTTAAAAACAAATAAGTTAGGTTTCGAAATCAATTCTACGGTTACCATTTCAGGGTCCAAATATCACTAGTCAAACTAAAGTAAATTGTTTTAATCCCATAGACTGTTCTGATATTGGACAGGACGGCTGGTTTGGAATGTCTGCATTATCGATGTCCTAGACAACGCTGGTAACGGGGTAGAAATTTGCATTTGTGGAATTTGAGGATGCACGATTACTCTCTGGTCATCTATCTCTCTTTGCTCGTCGTAATTTTCTATTTGTCTCTCATTCTGCCTTTCATTGTTCACTGTAGCTCGGAAGCCTCTGATGCCATCAGCACGATAATCAACCGTTCTTCTGACACCATCAGGTTGGATTAAAGAATATTGCCCAACGACAGTATCACCTCTTCTGCTTTCTTGTTGGTCTTTAATGTCTCCTGTTCGAGGTTCGTTCACGCTGTACGCGAAGTTGTAGTTAGGATTGTGTTGAGGCAAAATTTGTGGTACGATTTGTTGTAAAAGAATTGGTACTGGTATCTGGTGAATGAGGGTACAGGTTGCTGATATGAAGAGTATTGAGAGGACTGCCAGCTGAAAACAAAATATTGTTTTGAGAAAATGTGTAAAGGTAATACAAGTCGAACACTGTACTAGTTTTTGAGGTTCCATAATCAAGGTAGGATATAGATATCCCTTGTGATTTCTTAATGCTTATCTGTTGGCATATTGGTATATCATAATCCATTTACTCGTTTATTCATACACGTCTTGAGTATCAAATGTGGTTAATCGTTACACCCGTAACACGAAAGATTTGTTGCCTTTTATTACTTAATACACCATGTTTTTAATAAATAGTAATTAAATAATTCTGTGGATAAAATATTTTGAAAATTATGGGTTTATTAATCGTGGTTTTGTCCTATTTAAACGCTGTTAAATATTTTGTAAACAATGCCAAGTAAACTATGCCAAACTTGGAAGTTATGATTACTTAATCAAATCTCTGACGTTGATGGAATTATTTGCAGGGTTCTATTGGGACGGTAGCTCAGTGGGAGAACGGTTGCAACTCATTTTAAAGGTCGACGGACGGTTCCAATTCCGACGATGGTTTTGTGGCGGCATGTTATTTGTTGACTATATTTTTTTTATATAACTAGTTTACGTAAAAAAACATTTTTTTCATAAACATTGAAAGAGCATAAAAATATTATTCAACTACGTTAGCGTATTTATTTTTGAATTTGTTATTAAGCGCTTTTTCCTTTTGGAATATCGTTATGGTCAAATATTTGCTTAAATCCAAAATAATTTTTTTTCACCTCTTTAGCTCGGAAAGGTTTACTTTGTCATTAGAAAAGGTTTAACTTTTGGAAAAGGTTTCTGAAATTCGTGCTTGACGATAGACTGTGGTGCACCTAACTTTTTCTTTCGATAAAAAAGATAATGACACGTTAAACTACGCGATTTGTCGTACATTGCATATTTATGTAAATAAATGCGTTGGTATATTTTATTCTTATTATTGTTAACATTAAATTGACAATAATAACTAATTGTGTTTATTATATATTAAATTACTTCAATTCTCTCGCTTGGCAGCAAAGTTGTTTTGCGTCTCGTGTCTGAAATCCTTACTACGCTCAGGAATCTATTTTTGAATTACTCGTGGTTCAATGTTAGTTTCCAAACAACAACTTTGCTACCTTGCGTAACAAATACCTAACTATTGTTTTGTGAAAATTCCTAAAAATATTATGACTTCCTCGACTATATTGAACATGTCAGCCAGATTATAAAAACAATACAAAAAAAAACACTTCCAAACTAGAATCCAAACACATAAATTAATATACAACCAGACTACAAAATCTTCGCGGCACTACTTGGTTGGCTCAGAGAAAACGGCCTGGAACCACTCAACATTAAATGTACCAAAACCTGTGCAAACAACCGCACTCAGATAGGTTCCGTCCGAACACACTCCGTGAGCAAATGATGTACTTCCGCAGGAATTCAACACACTTCGCAATTTGTAGAACTCACCCTCTTCATTAAATACACAATGGTGTTTAATGGGACGTTTCCGGATCGAAGCCTATGCGCGCTGACAATGTGAGCTCTATGCCTCTACCACAAGATTACAGCGACAGTTATCGCAGGCAACCGCGTAAAATGTTTGTATTCGAAATGTTGTTTCTTCTTGTGACCCCTAGGGCTCTGTATATTAGGCCATACAAAATTGTGAAATAATTTACGCGACCGCTAGCGACAACTGTCACAATAAATTCGTGGTACATTCACTGATTAATTGTACGTAGTGTCAAAATGTAAAAACCTAATTTATAGACGCCATTATTAACCCATTTATACGCCCCACTGCAGGTCACGGGTCTCCTCTCAGGCGAGGGTTTAGGCCATAGTCCGCCACAATGGCCCAATGCGGGTTGTGGACTTTCCGCATTTCCCGAGGGCTGTGAATCTTCTTCGACGTCCAACCGACAACCTCTTAACACAATATTACTTTAACCTTACATTGGCTTTCGTACCATGACGTCCTTAAAGTTTATTATAATGTTAAAACTATGAAGTCTTATTGGCAGCGTTGTAACTATTCATTCATTGAGTTCGTACTACGACGCGACTTTAACATTAAAGTAATATTGCTCTTATGTCAAATTTAGCAATCTTAAAATAGTTACACGGATGCAATGGAAACATTATTATTTTCAGTTTTATTGTTTTAATATTTTATTGTTTTAATATTGATTTGTAATGGTTAAAAGTTAAGTTGAACTTATTCATTTATAAACATCTCTTCAATATTTTGTTTATTTTTTTATTTAATAGTACATAGGAAATCATTTCTCGTTAAATAAAAATACGCGATGTTTATTTCGGAAAATTATGCCAGCGACATCTATATGCTCTTTGGCGACACTAACAGTTGACACTAGACTATAATTCCGAATTCACAACGTGACTATCAAGACTCAGCTTGTTTTATTTATTTGTCTTCATGAAAACTCGGAATAATTATTGAAAGCAACGTAATTTTAATAGATTTTATTATTACATACAATCCCATTTTTTGAACATTCAAAATTCTCTTAATGTAAATAACATTAAGTACCTAAACATTATACTAGGATACGACGATTCGGAACATCAAAAAAGAAAGAGATGGCATTATGCAGTTCATATAGCGTTATTTCTTTCCTATTTTTAGTAAGGAATAGACAATATTGGGAAATCATTGGTTCTTTCAATCCCTTTAGCAATAATACATTACTTGGTTGGCAGGTTTGTCATGGTACCAATATGAGTAATATTATAATAAGCTTAGAATAATAACGCATAGAATGATAGTTTCATATCAAACGAACAGTCACAAGTGAGGCAAAAATCGAATTCATGTAGGCTAGTTTTAGTAGTAGGTTAATTTTCGGTTTTAGTGGATATTTATATAAAAATACAAGTTGAAACGCGTTACTTCCTTGTGGAATGTGATGTTAGTATCTATTTTATGTTTGTCTGACGTATTTTTACACTCATTTACCGCACATTTCGTCATTTTTAGCTAAAATTCTTGATCTGTTCGCGGTGCAAGTTGACCTTGAGCACTGAAGGCCCGCCCGCTCGTGTAGGCCCATTGGGCGCGCTTCAATTTGCCTCACTTAGCGTGTGCGGACTAGGATTCTATGCGTTATTATTTTAAGATAATAAGCTTACATTGAAATAAGATTGTTTTTGGAAGGGTTATGGCAGGCCCGTAGGTTTCAAAACGATGTTATTGTTCACCGAAAAGTACAAATTTCGCACATACATTTGAAAAACCTCAAAGGTTTTAACCCGTATACGAATCTCTTCTACTTGAGAGGCGGTAGGTCAAACGCCCTACATTTTGTTAATACACTAACCTTTAGAATCATGTTGGCCAGATGTGACTTGATCACGCAAGTGTGGGGAATGGTCTACAGGCTTTCTGCGTGCATTTTATATGCAGCAAAATGAAAATCGATCTCGAATGCAGCAATATGTATCAGATTTTGTGGGAACCGGAGCATTTTGGTCGAACAAGTGAATGTTTAAATACGAGTACGTATCTATTTGAATACATATTATATTATTATGGTTACTGTACACATCAATTTATACCACCAAGCAATAAATGTGAGAATACAAGAATACAAGATATTTATTCGCTGAAAAATGTAGTTTGCAATGGTGTTATAGTATATTATTATTAGATCGTACATTTCACCAAAACTTGGCATGCGAATATTTTACACAATTCTTATTTCAATCACGCGCAGTGGTTAAATTTTACATTTTATGTTGTCAATTAAAAAATCATTTATATTGTAGTAGCATTGTGTAACTAACAAATTATGTAATTTTATTTTAAATTGCCTACAATTTAGTTCTTTAACTGCATCTGGTATTTTATTAAATAATTTAGGTGCCAATATAAATATCGTTCTATTGTAAAATTCCAAGGTGGGGCGTTGTTTTGGCCGTATTTCTATTTTGTTCCTTGTTTTCCTGGGATGTCTGGTTTTCACTAGATTAAAGTTGCCTGGATTTTGTTTTATATAAACACAGGCCTCGTAAATATACATAGATGGTAGGGTTAAAATCTTTAGTTTTCTAAAATAGGGTACACAGCTTTCTCGCTGGCCCACACCAAACATGGCCCTGACACATTTCTTCTGGGTTTTAAACAGTGGTGTAATATGTGTTGCAGCAGCGTTCCCCCAAAGCAGCAGACCATATCGCAAACTAGAGGCTACATAGGCGTGATAAGCACAAAGAGCAGTTTGAGTTTTGAGCATTACTGCGTTCCGGTGTTGAAGGGTGGAATTACAGGCACCTGTTAATATTATGTCCCAGAGTGGTGGATGCATTGACGGTGTCCCACAGGTCTTTGCGATTTAAACTCTGAATTGCACTGTAACTGTAACCACAGGTAATGGTGGGCGTGTGTCTTACCACCAGGTGCATGCTTCTTTCGTCTTGTCATTTGATATCTTCAAAATATATTATATAAAATCTATTAAAATCATTGAGTTTTGCGATATTTTACTACCATGATATTAAATTATTTTTTATGAAATGACTCCACATAACAAATTGTTATAATTATTATGTTAAATCCGGCAGGATTTCGACCAGCGCCTTCGCCATACCGTGGCTAACGCTCTCCCAACTAAACTACGAAACGGAACAGCGTGTATTCGAATGATGAATTTTTCTTCTAAAAATCTTCATTGTTACTGTCATTCTCGTGTTAGTGGTCTCTTTCTCTAGCCCATAGGGAAACGGTATAGCGGGCATTGACACACATATAGACAACCAAAAATTACACACAAACACACGAGAGGAATAGATGTGGGCCTTAGAAATATTTCTTCTGACCCGGAAATCGAACCCGAGACCTCGGCGTGGCAGTCCAGTATGGTAACCGCTCGGCCACGGAGGCGGTAAATAATGTTTCAAGATATTATTTTCGAATATTAAATAACATTTCACGACGCCATACTCGAAGTTGCCACGGAAATATGGCAGTGAACACTAACACCAGAATGACCAATTAACAAACTGTCAGTCGCCTATTGATTCGAATTGGACTATCATCAATCAGATTTCTGTTGTTTACTGGTAAATATTAAGTTGCTGTCAAACTCCATTCAATATAATTATAATAACAGCTTTAAAAGAACTTTTAAAAGAGCATTACGTAAGATTATGCAAGAGAGGAGGTTAAAGTAACTGACCGTGGCACTGAACTTGCATTATGCCATTGCACCGATCTGCGCCTGCGGCGACGCCGAAATTCGTTGACGGTCGGCGGTTGTACATTGCGTCACATTTTACTGCATTGTAATTTATAAGCGGGTAGCGATAAATGGTTACGTGACATTTTATCATACGTCAAAAATGCTTTTATCGCTGGGAGTCATAAAAATAAAACAACCTATGTGAAACAAATGTTTTAAATCTCTCCAAATCGATATCTACGCAATCTTTATTTTTTGGTCATTTTCTGTTATTTTTGTAAACAGCCATATATATTTACTAATATACTCCCCGAATTTTATAAAAAATAAGGAAACAAAAAATAAATTCGAAAAAAAAACAAAAATGAATTTTGTGGAAACAAAGTAAAGACGCAAAAACAAATTAAAAACAGAACAGTTTCAAAAATTCAGTAGGCGTATGTTAATTGGAGGCATCGCAATTTAAACATAAAAAGTCATGGACTAATTTCTTTCCTTTGCAGATGTGGCCCTATTACACCTAAGATGCGAACTGGATCTCACACTTCGCATCTTAGGTGTAATAGGGTTTATTTTAAATTTAAATTAAATTTATATAGATTTAAACATCACATGAATTAATGTAAAATTTTAAATAAAAAGGACGGCGAGAGATCAGTGAGAAACGACTTTTTCTCCATTTAGAGTTTGATGGTTGGTTTTCTTGGGGTGAAAGGAAAAACCATCGTGATAATAATAATAATAAGCAGTATATGTTATTCCAATTGTTCTTTTCACAACAAGCATTAGTGCCAATCAACTTTTTTAGTCTCAAATTAATACATTGTATAGGAAACTCATTACCTTGCAAAAAGCTATAATTTACATGCCGCATTTTCAGAAAGCTCATGCAGGTGGAAGACGGCGAAGTAGGCTCTTATTACACACCCTTCACATAGATACACGCCATACTGCATTTACTTATTTATCGTCTGTAAGTGTGGTTCAAACCAGCCAAAGAACATAATTTTAATAAATGGATTTTCTATAGAAATTTTGGTTAATTGTTATTTCACACAAAAACAAATCTTATTTCCTAAAGTGACAAAATTTGTAGGAGACTGGAATCTAAATCTAGCCTTTCAGATTTCCGAACTCAAACTAATTGTCATTAAAACACTAACTTTGACAGAGATGTACGAATATGATTGGGATGAAACTTGCATGTTAAATACGGTTCACAACCCTTAGGAAGACGTGTCAAATCCTTAGCTCTTATCGGGCCAGAGTGAAAAACAACTTAATTTAAGAGGACCACATGCGCACCAGAGGTCTCAAGCCAGGCTATTTCCTGTACGATGACCACAAGAGTGCCAAAATTCACTATTGAGCACTACCTTGTGACGGTGTGACCTCCTTACACCGTCATCTCACCTTTTTGTATCGCCTCTCTCTGCTTGTATCCTATCATTTTTTATTTTACTTGTATTTAAATTTTAAATTTGAATTGTTCCATCTTCCTTCACTTTCTCATTTTGTTTTCGTACCACGGTCACTCCCTGCTCGACCGCCACAACAGTCGGAGCTGTTTCAAATTCCATTTACTAAAATCTTATTTTTGATTATTTACCAAGTTATAATACAAAATATATAATACAACAGTCGCAGCAAACAATTATCAAAAATTTGCTGCAATAAACTAAATAACTACCTCCGTGGCCGAACGGTTACCATGCTGGACTGCCATGCAGAGGTCCCAGGTTCGATTCCCGGGCCGGGAGAAATATTTGTATGGCCTACATTTATTTGTCTCGTGAGTCTGGGTGTAATTTGTAATTGTCTATTTGTGTGTCCATGGCACCCGCGACACAGGGTTTCCCTAGTGCGGGGCTATGTCGAGTGTGTGCGTTATTATTATTAATAGTTTTTCAACCAAAAATTAAGCCATAAACCCGGATTTAATGGTGCCGCCATAGAAACCCTGGCTATTACACGAATATAAAGATTTGTACGGACGCATTCTGGTGCTTTTCAACCTAGATCATCCTAACTAAAACCTGAATAGAAAAGTTTATCTCCCAAATTGGCCGTATCGCGAATCGAACCCAACAACTTCTAATCTACCGCCCACTGTGTAAAACCGGGTCGAACGATTTATACCCTTCTATCTATCCGACTTCGACTACTACCATCCAACCGAGTTTACTATGTATGAAAAATCCGCTATAATATCCTGTCTTGCTTCCCATTCTATTTTTACATCCATTATTTGAAGAACACTTAATTATAACTTGTTCGCAGATGGCTCAGTTATTACATTAATGCTGTTACGAAGTTCGGCTTTCGAGGTTGATCTTTGGCTCATTGCTGCTCCCAAGGGGATAAAAGTTTGTTGATCCGGATATTTTGCCGGATTTTGTTGGTATAATAAGGATGGATGTTTTTCATAGTCGTCTAACATTTATTTACTTTGTGATAGCTGTTTAATATATAAGCTGTCCTAAAACAGCGTTGAGGGAAAACAATATAGTACATTGTGTATTAACGACGGTAATTAAGAAAGTATTAACGAGGGTCTATTGAAAATCTAACTCGAGTTTAGTATTTTTTTACCGTCCGTGATACATATAATATTTTTCATTACATTTATGAGGAAATGAATACAGTATTATAACACCTTGCATATTTTTGTGTTGGTCCTTTTTGTTATTTGATTTAAGTTTTAATTATTCTTTTTTATTTTTGCTTGTGATACAGCCAAATATATAAATAATAATTTCCTGTTTTAATGCTTATGTTTTATTTGTGCAGAGGTATTTTTTTGTTTGCAAAATTGTTTTTTCTATTTATTTTTTTTATATGATTTGCATGTGTGTGTTTTGTGATAAATAAACCATATAAAATACTTAGAATAATAACGCATAGAATGATAGTTTCATATCAAACGAACTGTCACAAGTGAGGCAAAAATCAAATTCATGTAGGCTAGTTTTAGTAGTAGGTTAATTTTCGGTTTTAGTGAATATTTATATAAAAATACAAGTTGAAACGCGTTACTTCCTTGTGGAATGTGGTGTTAGTATGTATTTTATGTTTGTCTGACGTATTTTTACACTCATTTACCGCACATTTCGTCATTTTTAGCTAAAATTCTTGGTCTGTTCGCGGTGCAGGTTGACCTTGAGCACTGAAGGCCCGCCCGCTCGTGTAGGCCCTTTTCAATTTGCCTCACTTAGCGTGTGCGGACTAGGTTTCTATGCGTTATTATTCTAAGATAAAATATATAAATATGGTTCACAACATAACAGTTATGGTTTGAGATTTTTTTTAATTTTTCCATAGATAATACAACTCGAACTAAAATGTTGTAAAAAGCAAAGACGCATGCAGCCATGATGAACTGTAAAAAAAATTGCTAAATTTTTACACAGAAAATAATTAAAATCAATCAAAAGGAATTTTTAATAATAAGTATTTTAAGTAGTATGTGGCTAAATTGTAATTAAATTTCTGTTCAGGTAACAATAACCTCCTTGCTAGAACTTGAACCTGACCTACGTAAGGAAGTAATGTCGTGCTACAAATTTTAAAGAACTCCTCGCCAACCGTGATTGTAACGGGAAGAAAAAAGACCTGAGCGTTTTATTTGGGGCTTCAAGTTAGCCACCTTGCAATAATACTATTTACGAGCAAGTGTACTAAGGTATTTTTTTTGGTGGCCAATGGTATTGTTTAAGGAGATTCGAATCCTGGTGGGACTAATTTGGAAACGATAAGTACCAGTGAAGTTACTGCCATATTACCTGTTACTGTTGCCAAGCAGTAACGTGAGAATTAATGCGTTCCGGCTTTGAAGCGGAACGGTGCTGGTGAAATTACAGACACATAGGACTTTTCAACTTATGTCCCGTGTTACGAACAGGCGTGTCGCTTACCACCAGACGCACGACTTGTTCATCCCATTACTTGGTATATATGTAAAAAAACTACTGAATTCCACTAATGCTAGTAGGTCTCCTGACGTATGTAACTCTAGTGACGTTATAAAACCTGTAAAATATAGTGGTTTTATGTAAATTTTCAATATTTACAAATTACTTGCGGCAGGAAGTTTCTTAATCTTAAATTGAACAGCAATATAATCGGACCAAATAAATTCTTACGTAAATTCGCAAATGTCAAAGGCAGACATGTTCTCGAATTGTCGCTACTCGACTTGATTTTAACGAGTAGGTAATCATGGAATAAGATAAAAAAGATTTGATACGATTTATTTATTGACCTTGAATACCGAAGAAAATATGCTGTGCTGTTGTTGTGTCTTTGAATGTGTTACTTATCGATATATCTATATTTATATCTGTTATTTCATGGGTAAATTAAGAGCCCATTTGGCTTTTTTTTGTAGCAGTGGAAATGAAAACTGCCAAGCTGCCATACCGGTTTCAAAGTGAAGGTGTTGATGGTCATCATCATCATCATCATCATGGTCAGCTAACATCAACCCACTGCTGGGCATGGGCTTCTTCTTTATAGAGCCAATATTCGATCCTGCAAAGTCAAAGATCATTTATTCCATAGGTAAAATAAACTTATACACTTGAAAACATTTAACATTTAAGTTACTGCTCGTTCACTACGCTGACTTCCCTGAGAAGAACGAGCAAGAAACTATTGGGATTGCTCTTTTCAAATAAACTTAAATGCTATGGAATTTTGAATCAAATTTGAGTGGAATATGGAGCCGTGTCGTCTTTTCATACATCTTTATCTAACACGTAGTCTTCAATTTTGTAATATGATTTTTCGATCAAAATATTTTTAATGTAGTTTTTTAAACTTAGGAAATGATAAACTTAACATATGCTCCGGAATCTTATTGTAAAAACGTATACAGTTCCCCATAAAAGAGTCGTTTACCTTGGTTAAACGAAATCGTGGTACCATGAGTTTGGACTTAGCTCTAAGGTTAATATTATGGATATCTTCTTTCTTATTGAAATTATGTATATTTTTACGGGCATATAAAATATTTGAGTAAATGTACTGTGATGCCACAGTCATGATACCAGTCTCCTTAAACTTTTCTCTGAGAGAAACCCGAGAGCTTAGACGATATATATAGTACGAATCGCTCGTTTTTGCAATACAAATATAGTTTGAATATCTGCCGCTTTACCCCACATGAGACTCCTGCGCCATTAGTATCCAGCGCGATCCCGCAAATCTCAGACCATCGGGCTGGTGGTCTGCCCACTGGCCTTTTTGCCTCCTCTTGGCCACCATTCTGTGATTGCTTTGGTCCATCGTCTGTCTTCTTGTCAAGCCAAATACCCGCCCACCTTAACATTATGATGCGATTACCTACGTCGGTGTTACGTCCAATTTCCACTGTGGTGCTTTTGGTTAATTAATATATATACATGACGAATGTATTGTAAGTAATAAAACACGAGGTTGGTAGTACAAATCTATCTTTATGTCGGAAGTAATATTTTAATCTAGTGACTTTTGCTATTTGATACCGTCCTTATTTGGTAACAGACCAATTCTCGAAGGCTTCGACATTTTCTTGATTTCGAAACAATATCGAATTCTCAATGTCAACTGAAAATGTCACAAATACCGCCATTGAGCAATAAAAACTTCTTCTTGGTATCAAAACAGATTGTATATATGTGGGTGTGGTGATATAATTTTGATACAATGGATATGTTGGTGTGTATGTCCGCGATTCTCATGAAACGTAATATTGCGTTATTGAAAGGCCAAAGAAAGATGGATTGCGCAAGATTGAGATCAAATGTTTCTGTTTAAGCTTATAAATGGCATCGTTAATTCTCCTTTCTTAATGAGTCGTATTTCATTCAAATGTCCTAGGGTTAATGCTCGCTCCAACACAACATTGTTTTTCGTACCTACTTGCAGTACTAACTACGCTGGGAATAGGTTTCTAATCAGATCATGTAAATAATGATCGTTACCACCACATCGATATATTTACCTGTAAACTAAATTGTTTTCGTCAAATGTTAAAAAAGTAGATTTTGGTTAATAAATTAAGTAATTATTTCTTTTCTGCAATAATTGTCTCTATTTTTTTAAAACTTGTTTGGAGCTTTGTCATTTGGTTAGGCCATTGTTTACAGAATTTTGTCATTGTGTAGTAGATTAAGTGCTTTCGGCCTTCACTTTGTGAATTATCTATCATTGGAAACAAAATTTGGCTAAATTTAATATTTAATAGGTAAACAAAACATTTATGTAATATGTAAGCTGTATGTTTCTTTAAATAAATAAATAAAAAAAAAAGATGAATTGGATAAGAAAGGCGTGAGTATACAAATGATGGCTGTTAGACGAGAGTGGAAGAAAAATACACGTTGTGCCGACCCCACCTAGCGTGGGATAAAGACAGGAAGAAGAAGAAGAAGAACGCGCTAGACAACCACCCCATTTATCTGGTATCAACGTATATATTTTATTGTATGACACGAAGTGACGCGATGAAACGACATGCCTGTCTATAGCAATTGCAGTGCCACTCAGAGCGTTAAATCGCAAAGATCTGAGGGGCACTGCCGCTCTGAGACATAAGTTGTCAAGTCCCATTTGCCTGTAATTTCAGAAGCATCCTTATCCTTTAAAAATACTTCCCTGGATGAACTCTTCCAAAAGAAACTACTGCTAACAAAAATTGCATGTCACCCATCGACTTACAAATAAATGGACGACGGTAATACAAAAACCACGAAAAAAATGTCCCAAGTCAACTTATTTAAACGTAGTGACATGTAAAGGAATATGAAAAAGCTAATACGTTGAATTTAAATTGTAATGTCATCGCAGTACTGTCTAATTTTGCTTGCTTCGCTGTCAGTCGAACAAACGAAGACTAAAGCGTGAATGACGCTCTGTATACGATTTTAACGCCCTATAAGTTCGGACACTTTTTAGCGCGGACCCGACGTCCATATTATTGTATGTCAATGATGTCACCATAAGAAACCGTTCTCTCATTGAACTACCACCTCTTTCTGCTCCGGTAAAATAAAATGTATGGATTCAAGATTGCGGAAATAATTTGTGTTAGTTATAAAGTTATAATAGAAATAACAAATTGGTATTAAAATTAACTGTGTTATATTATTACAAACAACACACGCTAAGGTAAACACACGCTTCCGCAATAAGGAAGTTTAAAACTAAAGTTTAATTTAATCTAAGTTACTTTGGAAAGTGTAATATAAGTTAACTTGACAATTACATTACGTATTATAAACTCATCCCTTGGAGTATGGGCCGGGTACTGGTGTGGTACGCCACATGTGCCAACACACTTGCCTCCGCAGCTGAGCTGGCGAAAACAATAAAAAGTAACAGGTACCAGGATCTCGGCTCCGACTACCTATTTACAGCCTTTGGAGTCGAGACCCTTAGCCCGTGGGGTCCCAGTGCCCTTCATCTGTACAAAATGTTATCCAAAAAATTAATAGGCTTTTTGGGAAACCCAAGGGCCGGCAGCTACCTTGCCCAACGCATTAGCATAGCAATACAAAGGGGGAACGCTGCCAGCATCTTGGGCACCTTGTCGCGGGGATCAGATTTTATTCATATAATTTTAAAATCCTAGTTTTACTTTCTAGTATTTAAGATTTTATTGTCTTTTTTACCTTACCTGTATATTATCTTTAAAATAATCTCAGTACAGAGTACTAAAAAAACCGCACTCAAAAGTACGTGGAATTACGACTATTTGCCAAGTTTTATTGAAATACTGATTTGTTGAAAAATGTTTTATTGAAAAATAGAAGTAGAATAGAATATAATAGAATCGTTTATTTCATGTTATCAATGTCACAATATTACAATTGGAAATACAATGTCAAGGGATAACTATGATCGTCAGTAATAAAATTATAATAATAAATTATTATTATTATAATAATAAATTATTAATATAAAATAAAGTAGTATAACTACTGCTTGTCGAATAAAATAAAATTAAAATTGTTTCAAAAGAAACTCATTGACACTGTACAATTCAATATCCAATAAAAGGATTTTTAGTCGGGTACAAAACGTTTCATCGTTTCTAACACTTTTCAGGTCTGTGGGTAGATGTTCGTAGAATCGGGGACCTATTACCCGCGGATTTCTAGTTGCAAGTTCGGTACGGTGGGCAACGGATTTTAGTGTTCCCGCGTTTCGTAACGCTCGGCCTCCGCCCGTACGGCGCTCTTAAGTAGCCAAGTTTTGACGCGCATTGACTATTATATCATAAATATATTGTGAGTACATGGTCATTATATTGTATTTCTTAAAAAGGTTTCTGCAGGTCTGACCCTTTTTTATGCCTACTATTGTTCTTAGTGCACGTTTTTGAAGAATAAATACCCTAATCGACTCAGTTGAATTACCCCACAGTGTGATGCCATAAGACATCAACGAATGAAAATATGCATAATACGTCTGCCTCAATACCACATTGGAGACAAGAGGACGCAGTTTCCTCAGTGCGTATGCAGCACTTCCAAGTTTTTGACATAGAGTTTGTATATGTGACTTCCAGTTCAAATTTGAGTCTAGCGTTAAGCCCAAGAATTTACAGGTGTTACATAATGGAACAATGGAGGTGATAATTGGCTTTGTTATAGAATTTCTTCCTGAGAACAGCATAAGGTTTGACTTCGATTCGTTAAGAATAAGTCCATTCGCAGAGAACCACTCACACAGATGCTCATACGTGCAGGCTAATTTTTCTTCCAACTAGTTGTAGGTTTTAGCACACACTATAACGGTTGTATCGTCCGCAAATAGAACCACAAGACCCCCTGATATAAAGTATGGCAGATCATTGACGAATGCCAGGAATAGTGTATTACCTAGGGCAGATCCCTGTGGGATGCCAATGGTGACGTCACCAGCCGCTGACCTAGTTGTTGTACCGTTTGTACTGACCTGAACCGTTTGCCGTCTGTTTGATAAAAAAGGAGTTATGGGCGACTCCGTTGACACCATACACAGCTAACTTTTGAATTAATAAATCATTTTCAATTACATCGAACGCCTTTGTTAGGTCACAAAAAATGCCTGTAGTTTTATACTTATCATCTATACTGGTAATAATAAAATCTACTATATTTTGTGCTGCAACTACGGTGGATTTACCTTTCCTATAAGCATATTGTCTATCTGATAACAAATCCATAATACTTGTTGATATAATAGATTCTATTATTTTTGATATATTCGGAACTATGGTTATCGGTCTGTGGCTTTCAACATGGGTCACGTCCCCCTTCCCCTTAAACACTGGACATACACGAGTACTTTTTAAAATATCAGGATATATACCTTCTCTAAACATTTCATTTATTAAAATAACGAGTATGTCTCCAATCACTGGCCACACCGACATTAATATATGTATAGATATATCGTATATATCCAGCGTTTTTGACGTATGCCACATACCCCTCACTACCCCCTCCAACGAGTCACGAGTGACAGTTGGAAGGCTGTACTGAGGAACATCGCATTCACCCACGCATTTTCTTAAAAATGACATTGATTTTTCTTTATTATTGTGTAGATGTAATTTTGAAGTTATTGTAAGAAAATAATCATTGAAGTAGTCAGGTATCATGTCTACAGGTACAATGTCTCCCTTGTGAGTCAGTCGAACGTTTTGTTGGTGATTCCTAGTTGAAACCTCATCGTTCACAATCTGCCACATTACCTTACTCGAGTTTTTAGTAGACATCATCTTATTATCATTAAATAGACGACGATCACGCAAACTCATAGATTTTATTAAATTTGAATGATGTTGAAGACATTTATTTAAAACATTATCATGTGGAAATTGGTGTTTCATTGAGCAGAAATTATTATACATTGCAATGTCGTGGTTAAGTTCTTCACTCACCAATGGAATAGTATTCCTCTTTAAAGATATTTTTTTAATAGGAAAATGAATATTAATATAATAAGTTAATATTCTTATCAATGAACTAAATTTTTCATTAATATTAATATCAGTCACATGAATGAAACTCCAATCATAATTATAAATGTCCATATAAAATAAATTAATAGACTCCTCTGCAAAGATACGTCGATGTATAAATTTGTTTACATTTTTGTGTTGCGTAACAGGTAATACGAATAGCTGTGCGTTGTGGTCGCTTATCGGCGTATCTAAAGGAGAAACGGTTACGTAATTACAGTCATCGCTCGAAACTATCCCACAGTCCAAAGAAGTGCTACAAGTGTCACATTCGCGTGTAGGAAAATCGACAATATTTTTTGTGTTATAACAACTCAATAGGTCGTCTAGGCATCGCCTGTCCGAGTTGTCGGTTAAATAATCTACGTTTATATCGCCGACCAAAATGAACCTTTTATTTTCGTCAAATATTGTTGACAATAATTTTTCTATTCAA